CTTTCTTTCTTTCTTCTTCTCTCTTCTCTCTTCCTCTTCTCTCTCTTTCTCTTTCTTTCTCTCTCTCTCTTTCTGTCTTTCTTTTTCTCTCTTTCCTTTCTTCCTTCCCTCCCTCCCTGCTCTCTCTCTCTCTTTTCCCCCATCACATTTCTACCCTTAAGTTCTGTTCCCCTCCTGGCCCTACAGTTTCAGCTTCATCACTTGGTGCCTTGACCACACCTCACTGGTGTGAGGCGGCCCCCTGGTGGGGCCACTGCTGTGATGGGCTTGGCGCCCCCTGGGGTCTCCAGAGCGCGTACACCTTGGGCACATCAGGGCTTGTCCAGCCAGGGGCTCCAGCTTCTCCGGCAGCAGGATGTGTGGGGTGAGGTGGGGGAAAATGGTTGAATAATGGCCAAAATTTTTCCAAATTTGATTTTTGAAAACTATACACTTAAGGATCTCAATGAACCCCAAGCACAAGAAACATGAATAAAAATACACCAAAGCATTTCATAACCAAATTACTTAAAACCAGTGATGAAGGAGGAAAAAGTCTTAAAAGCAGCCAGAGAGGGGAAAAATAAATTCTTTCCAAAGGAAGAAAGAGAACAGTGATCGCAGACTGCTTGGCGGAAACATGCCAAGCCAGAAGGCAGGGGCGCAACGGCCATCAGTTACTACAAGACTAACTTTCAGTCTAGAACTTCATACCCTGTAGAAAAACATCTGTCAAAAATGAATAAGAATTAAGTAATTTTAAAAACATCCAAATGCTGAAAGAATCCATCACCCACAAACAGGAAGTATGAGAAAGGCAGCCCTGCAGGCAGGAGGAGGGTGACGTCAGAGAGAATCTGAGCTACTCAAAGGCCAGAAGAGCACCTGCAACGGAAATCACATGGGTAAATATAACAGGGATTTTTCTGTTATTTAAATCTCTTTCAAATGGTCCACTGGAATACTGAATCTCTAGAAACGTGTCAGGATGGCTTGGTCAGGGCATCCAGCCAACAGCGTTGGGCCAGCGCTCCCCGGAGGCGCCCAGGAGCCGGCGAGGCGGCCGCCCTCAGCTCGTGCCCAGCAGGGGGAGCCCGTGGACTTTGGGAAGGACCAGGCCGCCCCACCGCCGGCCCTTCCCGGTGACAAACTCCCTGGGCCAGGTAGACTGGGGCTCTCCAACAGCCACAGGTGGGATCCCTCAAGGATAAATTGTAAAGCTTGAATGGATGGGTCCTGATCCAGGCTTTCCCATTAATTTGCTGTGCAACTTCATTTGGGCGTCTGTCTCTCTGGGCCTCATCAGATCCCTCATTTGTAAAATGAGGGGTGAGATGAGCTAAGGTCTAAAGGCCTTCTTTCCCACAGTCTGTCATTCCTTGACCACCTCGGCCCCTCTGCTCCCACCATGGTGGAGCCTCCAGCGGCAGAGAGAGGAGCCTTTCCCTCTGGGGAAGGGTTAAAGGAGAGAAGGCTTTGAGAAAGCAGAACCTGAAAATCAAGCTCCAGCCTTCCCTGTGCCCGTCAGCCACCCCCACTCTCCACGTGCAAGCACCGGGCCAAGCGCTTTGTAGCATTCTTTCATTTCATTCAACATTCCAACCCCCAAAGCAAGGAAGAGAGAAACAATTATCCCAATTTTACAAATGAAGAAACTGAGACCCAAAGACGTTAAGAAACTTGCTTAAAGTCAAACAGCTAATAAGAGGTGGAGCTGGCATTTGAGCCAACGGCCAGCCGGGCCCTGACATGTGCTCCCTGCCCTGAGCCTCCTGAGAAATGCAGTTCGCTCCTCGGAGTCACACTCTAACCTGGAAGGGCCCTTGCGGTCCTCTGTGCACCCCTCTCATCTTATATGGGAAGAAGCCAAATTAAAAGGGCACTGTGTGTGTTTGATTCTTTATTTTTATTGAAGTATAGTTGATGTAAAATATTGCAAATGTTACAGGGGTATAGTACAGTGAAACAATTTTTAAAGGGTATACTCCATTCATAGCTATCATAAAATAGTGGCTGTATTTCCCGTGTTGTACAATATATCCTTGTAGCTTATTTTATACCTAATAGTTTGTACCCTCAAGAGGGATTTTAAATGTTTAGACCCTCTTACCCCTGCCCAGTTCTCCTCCTATAAAAGTCCACTCGAGTCAGAGCATGACTTAACGGCAGTTCTGTGCTGTGCACTGGGAGAGAACCTCAGTTTACACACAGTTGATTTCCTCAGTTCTTCACAGCAGATGCACATGCTCATAATAAAAGTGAATAAAAATACCCGTTTTATAGATGTGGCTATTTCAGTACCGTTTAATAACTTGGTCACCATCACACAACCAAGTCAACTAAAAAGAACTGTAATCTTAACCCCCCCAATTCTAATCTCATGCTTTTCTGTGACACCTCTTTTCTTCTGAGCCACTCTTTACCTCCAGAACCTGTGGTACACAATGGCTATATGAATGTGTGTGTTTATCTTGGTTATGACAAGAGGAAAAAGGTAAGAAAAAAACGCTCGGAGTAAGACCAGCTGGAAGGAGCAGCGGCAATGGCACCAGCAGCAAGAAGGACCCTTCCTTTCCTGCTGAGACCAAGTCCCAGAGCCCAAAGCTTTCTGGGGTCCTCCCCTCCCTGCCTCCTCTTCTGGGCCCTCCTGGGCCCCTTCCTCTGTGCCCAGCCGGGCTCTGCTCTGTGCACCAGGTCTGGTGTTCATCCCCGCCAGAACGAGCCCTGCCCCAGCCCCCGGCTTCTCTGGAGGCGGGAGGGGGTCAGCCAGCAGCAGGGAGGCCCTTGCACTC